TTTTTTTTTTTTTTTTTTTTTTGAAGAGATTGATAAATAAACAATATTAATTTGACATTAAAATCTAAAATAAATTTAAGCATGATAATTATATTAATAAAATATGATATAAATAGGCCAATAAAAAATGTCATATCAAATAATAAATAGGACCATCTATATACATGTAAGAAATTAATATTTTTCTATTTTTATGCCGATAGTCGTACCATTAATTAGAAAATAAAAAAATATTTTTATCAAGTTAATAATTATTTATTTCCATTTAAATCAATAAATATAAAAATAAAAAAGGACAGAGATCTGTGGCTTTTTAGGAAAAAACATCAAAAAGTAGTGGTCGTGTGTGTAATAAATCAGAACTTCGAGGACTATTTTGTAAATCCACCCCGAAATTATTAATTTGTAGCTACGCTCTTTCGTTTCTCAGAGTTTCTTCTTCTTTTGGCGCAGAACTGATGAACAGAGCAATGGAGCTCCAAACCAGCAACAATGACGGCGAGATTTTGGATTCAGATGTCAAAACTGAGCTTCAAGAACCTAATAATGGTGGGCCTCACGGTGTTCATGAGCCTCTATCCGTCTTTGAAGACGTTGATAGCGCATGTTCTACTCCTTATGTTAGTGCTCCTTCGAGCCCTGGCCGTAGCCCCGTCGGGGGATTTTATTACAGCGCTCCCGCTAGTCCAATGCATTTTGCCATAACTAAGTCCTCAAACTCTTCTGCTCAGTTGTCGTCGTCTTCGTTGAAGGATGGGCATTCGTGTTCGTTCGAGTTTGAGTTCTCCGGGAGGTTTGGGTCTAATGGCTCGGGTTCAGTCGGTTCCATGAGCTCGGCGGATGAGTTGTTTTTGAACGGGAAGATCCGACCGATGAAGCTCTCGACTCACTTGGAGCAGCCGCAGGTTTTGGCGCCATTGCTGGATCTGGAAGGAGAAGATGAAGACGATGAAGGGGGCGAAATCGTAGGGTATGTAAGAGGGAGAGATCTGCGGCTTCGAGATAAATCTCTCCGGCGGAGAACCAGATCTATGTCGCCGTTGAGAAATACGCCGGCGGAATGGACGGAAAATGACGATGAAGATTTGAATGCAGAGGGGTTTCTCGAGAACGATTCAGGAGAAGGGAAAACGATGGAGAAGAACGAAGAAGAGGGGTTTATGAGTTCAGAAACCACCACTCCTTCAGTTTCGGCTTCGTCGTCAAGATCTTCATCAGCCGGAAGGAATTCGAAGCGATGGATTTTTTTGAAGGATTTTCTATACAGAAGCAAAAGTGAAGGAAGAAGTAGTAATCATAAATTCTGGTCCAACATTTCATTTTCTTCTGCAAAAGAGAAGAAACCAACAACAAATCAAGCAACATCCACTTCCACTTCCACTTCATCTTCAACAAAGCAAAAGGCTACAAAACCATCCGCTCAGAAGGTGAAGGGGGGAAGTGGGCAAGTTCCGGCGAAGAAGCCTACGGCCGGAAAACCGACGAACGGCGTCGGAAAACGGAGGATTCCGCCGTCGCCTCACGAGCTGCACTACACGAAAAACAGAGCACAAGCAGAGGAGCTGAGGAAGAAGACATTCTTGCCTTACAGACAAGGCTTGCTTGGCTGCTTGGGGTTCAGCTCAAAGGGCTATGGAGCTATGAATGGCTTTGCAAGGGCCTTGAACTCTGTCTCTTCCAGGTAATAAAATAAGATCAATAAGATATAGCTAGCCTGTTCCATTTCAAAGAAAATTGTATAGCAATTTTTCCTTTTCCTTTTCATGAAACTTGCTCTATGCTAAGATGATGATTATATTAATGCATTCTTGTTATTCATTTCATCATTTTTTGTTCATCCAGAAGAGCTAAGCTTCTGAGATCCAATCTCAAAGGGGTCTTTGTAGAATCTAGAAATTAATTGGGTGTTTCCTTTTGAACCCCACAGTATGGCTGTTGTGCTAAGTTACTGTTCCTCTCAGCACAGTAATATATACCCTTTCTTCTGTCACACTGTTTCAGTCAGCTTAGCTTATAATCTATCTCTTCAGATGAGCTTTAGCTTGTGAAAGTTTATGATTATGGAAGTAAGAACAACATCAGCTGCGCTTACATTACAGCTTTTAAGCTAATTTTTCTTTGTAGCCTTTTTCTCTGATGTTTGAACACTTTTTTCTAAGCTATGAGGGAATAATTCGTAAAGAAATCCATGACTTTGGAAACGTTTTTAGTTGTTCTAATCTCTAAGACAGTTCAGATCAACTGTTAAGTGCGGTGTTCTCATAATTTAGAATGCTTGTTATTTTTCCTCTAATAACTTGGGTAGCGACGAATACACTCCTTGCCCACCCCTACTGATCTTTATAGAGGTTCCACCCACCCTAATGCCAGATCCGAGAGACAACAAGGATTTTTGATTCGTAAAGATTTCATTCAAGGTCTTGGACTTTAGAGAAGATTTCCAAATATCTAAGTCCTTACCTCCATGGCCATCATTGGGTAAGAAGCCAGTTCTAAAAACAACTTGCATGCTACCTTTTCCACTTTTAAGTGCATCCAAGGAAAAGAAAGATCGTCTAGCGGACGATGGTACACAACAGGCTAAAGTGGGCAATATCTGCTAGCGGTACTTGAGCAGTTACAAATGGTATTATAGTTAGACACTGGGTAGTATGCCAGTGAGGATGCTGACCCTCTAAGGAGGATGGATGGTGAGATCTCGTTAGAGAGGAGAACGAAATATACCTTATAAGGGTGTGTGGAAACCTCTCCTTAATAGATCCGTTTTAAAACTTTAAGGAGAAACCGAAAAGTTCAAAGAGGATAATATATACCAGGAGTGGTTAATAGTGGTTGGGCTGTTGTTATAATATCTTTAAATGAAAAAAAAAAATTATAATGTCTTTCAATCTGTCCATTTTTATGGTTGTGCAATGATAAATGATTTATTGGTGACTTTTATGGGGGGTTGTGTTGAAACCCTAAACCAAAAAGTGATGAGGGTTGATGATGATGAAAGAGAATGTTGATTTGGTTAGCGAGAAATGAGATCAATAATAGGGCTATGGCTCACATGTTGATGGGACATTGCTGTGTGAGGCAGCAGAAAGGCCCCATGTTAACCTACGGATCCACAAGGAATGACATATTTACAAACAAATAGCAAGAGATAACTATATGTTCTCTTGGTGCTATTCTTTAACTTCTGTGGTGCAGGAACCTTTTGCTAGCTACCCCACATTGTTGCCTCGATGCTTGGAAGAGATTTGAGGTAAATTCCTTTCCTTTTTTCTTTTTAATTTCCATTATGGGGGCAACGAGGGCCCTATCTCCTTATTATCCTCAAACCCCCTTATTATCCATCTTCAAGGAGGTTTCACCCATTCTAAGGCCATGTAACTGCCTAAGCCCACTATAAGATATTATTCTCTCTACGTTTTTCATTTTGGGCTTCCCCTAAATGTTTTAAAACTATGCAGAGGTTTTCACACTCTTATAAAGAATCCTTTGTTTCCCTCTTCAATCGATGTGAGATCTCACAATTCACCACCTTTTGGGGCCCAGGCATCCTCGTTGGCACACTCCACCTCGTGTCCACCCCATTTGGGGCTCAGCCTCCTCGTTCGCATATCGCCCAGTGTTTGGCTTTGATACCATTTGTAACAACCCAAACCCATCGCTAGATGATGTTGTCCTATTTAAGCTTTCCCTTCCAGGCTTCCCTTCAAGGTTTTAAAACGTGTCTGCTATGGAGAGGTTTCCACACCCTTATAAAGAATACTTCGTTCTCCTCTCCAACCGATGTGGGATCTTAAAGGCCAACTTCGAGAGACAACAGTTTCACAGGATTAGGGGTTTGATTTGAACTATACTCTTAGATGATATCTGAAAATTTTTCAGGATAGCTCTAGTACATACTCCCTTTATTATTACTCAGTCTCGTAACAATGAAGATGCATTATTTTATAAAGTAGGGTCAACATAATTTATGTTAGTCTGAAGGGAATCTTTCTTATGTTAGTCTGAAGAGAATCTTTGTTGGAGGGTATTTCTAAACATCCCAACATTAAAAAGTTGTTGCCACTGGAACTTTTTTATCTTTTTTGAAACAAAAGTAAATTTCTTTTGTTTCAAAAAGGTGTGGGAATAAAGTTTTAACTCTTGACAAAAGTTAGGAGTTTGAATTTGTTTTGCCTGAATTAGGAAGCTCTGTTAAAATAATGTGCAATAGGGTGGAAGTGGATTTTGTTCCTAATCTCTCTGGGGCCATGCTGTTTCCTTGATATTAGCATAAAGGAGAAAGAGATGGGTGGTGGGTGAGTGATGGAAACATTTGGCTTTGATTGTTTTTACGTGTTTTGCTTTAGGATTAGTTTGCATATACCTTAATAGATCTCATAGGACCTCGGTTTGATCCTTATGATGTTTGGTGTCAAAACTTGTGTTGAGGAATATCTGAACCAATCTTGTTAACTTTGATCTTTGCTGGTGAACCTGCGATATCATTCGATCAAAACTTGATTCCCTATAATATTTGGAGTTTGATGTTTTAGGGTGCTTAGAAGACCCACAACGGTAACAAACCACACCCGCCACTATCCAATATTGTTCTCTTTGGGTTTTTCCTTTCGAGCTTTCCTTCAAGTCTCACAATCAATCCTCTTTCGCCCTTCAAGGTTTTTCGATGTGAAATCTCACAATTCACCGTCCCTTTAGGGCCCGCACACAGCCTGACTCTAATACCATTTGTAAGAGCCCATAGTGAGATGTTGTCATTTTTAGGTTTTTTTTTTTTTTTTTTGGTTTCCCTTCAAGGTTTTTAAAACTTTTGCTAGGGAGAGGTTTTCACACCTTTAATGTTTCGTTTTCCTTCCAACCTCAATTCGTTCCTAAAGATCGAAATCGATAACATTGGTTTAGATATCTCGAATTTGACTAAACAAATAATCTCGATAACTAAAGCAAAAAAAAAAGACAAAACGCTATCCCTAAAAGAAAATGACGGTGACGGAGAGATTATTTTAGGCATGAGAAACAAATCTCCGATGGTCCCAAAACCACCATTGTCTTGCATGACAAACAAGACCCATCAAGCAACAAGTACAAAGAAAGTCTCTCTCAATGTCAACCTCCTAAGATGTGGATGAGATAGGCATAGAGCTCACCTCTTTTTGTTATCTTTGTTTCTCTTCGGCCCACTTAAAACTAGCCCAGCCCAACATCTCTTTTATGGGCCTTTGTTTAGCCCATAATACTGTTGGGCTCACCTCTTTTTGCTATCTTTGTTTCTCTTTGGCCCACTTAAAACTAGCCCAACCCAACATCTCTTTTATGGGCCTTTGTTTAGCCCATAATACTGTTGGGCCACTTCTGTCCACCCCTTTTGTGGGCCTAAGTTGCCGCCATTCACACTTTCAACCTTCATGGTGTGTAAAAATTATTAAAATATACACTTGACTGAAAAATTAAATATTTTAATTCAGATTTTTAGTAATTTATATAATATTTATAAACAATAGGAATAGTGGGGGGCGTTGCGAGAATCGAACTCACGACCTCTTGCACCCGAATCGAAAATCATAGCACTAGACCAAACGCCCTGTGTATCTTTTTAAACTTGGAAAATTTAATATTTGGTGGTGCGGTCAAGTTTTTTTTTCGGCGGCGATGGCTCATGCCAGCAACCCTGTAAGTTCTAATCTTCTGTTTCATTTTGAACCCTAACTTACCGATATTCCATCCCAACTCAAATCCTCTGAGTGGTTCTGGTTCTGATTCTGGCCCATTTAGTGGATGAAACGAGAAAAATAGTTAAGAATGATGAAAAAACCTCAACTCTTTCCTTTTGGGATTTCGATGGGGTTTATTTGCAACTAATTTCGGTCGATTTCTTAAATGCAGGTAGCTGGAGTTGATAACACCATCAGAAGAAAATTTGATCCAGAGGAGTGTTTGGAACGACCTCGTGAGCATGAAAAACAGGTTGGGACTTATGGAATTTATTTCTTGTTCTCATCGTCATCTTAATGCTTATTTTTGTGTGTGTTCCTCAAATGTGTTCCCATTTCGCTGATTCTGATGTCTTTAATCTGTATTTCACGAGGTTAAGTCGAAATGTAAGTGTTCCCTTTCCTGCCATTTCTGTTGAGTTTTTTTGCTGTCATTCACTTGTAATTATAGAAGCTAGAATATGTAAACTTGGTATGATTTCATTTTTCATCTTTTCTTCAGCGCAGAGAAAACCATTGAAGCATAGAGATTACGATTGGGAAAAACCCAGGTTAGTTATACCATTCTCTCACTGTTCCTTCAAACATTTTCTTGAATCAGTGTGTATTTTGGCCACTTTGTTGGAGAATCTGTATTTGCACCGTTCTTTTGTGTTTATGTGGTAGAAGTTAAGGCTGTCTTGAGTTAATAATCGTTCGTTTTTTCATCCATTTGTGTCCGTAGTACATTGACCTTTAAAATTTTTAGTATATTAACTTTTAGGCTATCAAATTTTGGCCTGTGGCCTCTCGGTGGATGCTGCTGTAGATTCAAGTTCTATGTGGCGACTTTATTTGAAAGGTAAGACTTGTGTATTGCCTGTACTGCACTTTGTTAACTGATGCGAGTCGCATCGGTCTGAGAGGGAATGAAACATTTTTTGTAAGGGTGTGGAAACCTCTCCGACGCGTTTAAAACCTTGAGAGGGGAAGCACGAAAGGGAAAGCCCAAAGAGAACAATATTTAGCGGTGGGATGTAAATGGTATCAGAGCAAGACACCAGGCGATGCACTCATGAGAATGTTGAGCTCTCAAGGGGTGAATTTTGAGGTTCACATCAGTTAGAGAGGGAAAGAAGCATTCCTTATAAGCATGTGACTCCCCAGTAAACGCATTTTAAAACCTGAGGGGATGCACGAAAGGGAAAACCCAAAAAGGATAATATTTGTTAGCAATGGGCTTGAGTGCTTGAGTTGGTACAAATGGTATCATATCCAGACATCCGGCGGTATGCCAGTGAAGACGTTGGACTCCCAAAGGGGTGGATTATAAAGTCCTACATCGGTTGGAGAGAGGAATGAAGTCCCTAGTTGACATGTTTTAGAACGGGCATCTCTTCAACAGGTACCACCCTAATCGTCTCCATTATTTTAGATATTTGTGGAAGCAGTGTCGAAAGGGCTAAGTCGCTTTATGTGAAATAGGTGCAGGAGCGGTTTGAAGTTCTCTAAAAGAGAAAAACGCCAGGAAGCTTCACAGAACAAGGTAAAGCTTAAGAGTTCAGAGCTAGCCATGCCATGCCTTACGGATTGATGCGCAAGGGAAGATCGAAACTTGGGCTTCCCAGCCTTCTGGACTGCAAGTTGTGTTTTGAAAGTTTTCAATATGAACAATTAAGAACTGGAAGAGCATAACATGGCCTTTCATATGTTATATACAAGTTTCATCATGTCTCAGTATGAAATTAGTTGCTGATTTCATCTGTGAAGAACTTGGTCCAAGAAATGAAAGAAAATATCCACCTGTTCTTATTTTTTAGTTTTTTTTTCAAAGATTGGCTGTGCACAACCTTTGTGGGATACGAGTGGTGGAAAATATGCACGTGTAAATATTGCATGAACTCGAATATGAGTTCGGGAGATTTGAACTAATTGGGTCAGTGTTCGATAATCATTCAAATTTAACAGATTCAAAAAACATTCAATGTATTTAAGGGCTTAGAAGTAACGAGTTCAAGTCATAGTGATCATCAGTTTCTTTGATGATCAAATGCAATAGGTTGAGACGATTGTCATGTTCTGGAGTCAAAAACTAATCGAACATTCACACATGAAAGAAAAAATCTTGAGACCCAAATCAAGATATGTTCAACTGAATCAAGTCAATGGTTTGATCTATATGTTCAATTAAAAAAAACATGAAAGAGAAATGAAGAATAGAGTAGCCAATTCACTACAGCCTTTATGATCAAATTTTGGTGTGGGAGTTTCAATTGGAAATGAAAAAGGTAAAAACAATTCTTACCCCTCAGATTCATACCAACAGAATTGACAGTAAAGGTTGAACAAAATAATTTGTTTCTCAGAACAAAGAAAACAAAATCTACTTAATGTACTGAGAAAGCCATTTGAAACCATCCCCATAACCCATTTTCCTAACAATGCTACACATGAAAACCTCCAGAGGACGAACACTCGAGTCAGCCATGCTTACCTTGCCCTTGCCAGTCGTGAAGTTTGTTAGGCCTAAGTTGTACCGTAACTCGTCTTCTGATGCAGCATATGGAATGTCGATCTTATTGCCCAGAATCAGAAATGGAACGTCGGCCAATGCTTCGTCGGAGAGGAGAGCATCCAACTCTTTCTTCGACTCTGCAAACCTCTCCTTGTCATATGCGTCAACCAGATAAACTACGGCATCCACCTTCACATAACAATGACAACATATTCAATAAAGGTTTTGACATGATAAGGAGCTATACAATGCGAGCACAACACAAGACTAGATGACCCAGTTAGTGGCATATAAGATCATATAATATCAAATAAACAGCTCAAAACACATTGTTTGTCCTTCACAGGCCAATGTCAGAATACAAATGATTTTAAAACTTGTATAAGGCCACAGTTTCACAAAGGTGGGTGAATTCAATGTATGTGTTAAAACCATAGTTCAGTAAAGGACACAATTTTGACCCCTCTTTCAACGAGAAGATGCTATTAGCAAACAGCTACATAATTTCTGCCTCCCATTAATCAGTAAAACGCGAAGAAAGGATCATCTGGGATTATGAAGGCAGGGATACATTTTTGAAAAATGAAATCATTCAGAGTTAAAATACTAGCAAAGTTAGGCAAAATCAATGTCTGTTAAAACCAAAATTTCAATCCTTCCACCTCAGAACTTAGGATCCTAAAGATAGAAAATGTCATACAAAACATCAGCATATAATTTGTAGAACCGTAGAAGATTGATTACGATTACGTTGATGAAGAAAATGTATGGTTATGTACTAAAAGCAAATCCTTTCAAGGAGAAGATATACTATCAGCGAATAACCATGTGATTTCTGCCTCCCATGAATCAGAAAAACACAAAAATGGTTTGCCTGGGATTATGAAGGCAGGAAAATATTATGAAAGCACTGAGGCACTTCAAAGTTGAACAAACTGCAAAGGTAGACAAAATGATGTATGATAACTGTAGATAATATTTCAAAGTAAAGCTTTCGGACCTTTCCATAGAGAAGGCAATACGGTAATTCAGTACATTGGACCTCAAATATGGCAAACGCCATTAAAAAATATCAGTGGGTACAATTTATAGTTCACAAATAGTTACAATGACAAGAAAAATGTATGGTTATGTACTAAAAGCAGACCCTTTTCGAGCAGAAGATATGCTATCAGCGAATAACCATATGATTTCTGCCTCCCATGAATCAGAAAAACACAAAGAGGTATGTCTGGGATTATGAAGGCAGGAGAACATTTTGAGCGGGGGAGAAAAAAAAAAACTAGATGGTTCAAAGTTCAAATAACCGCTAAGGTAGACAAAATGGTAAGGGCAGTAACACAAAAATGTACGGTTAGTACTAAAAGCAGAATCTTTCATGTAGAAGATATGCTATCAGCGAATAGCCATATAATTTCTGCCTCCCATGAATCAGAAGAACACAAGAAGTTTAATCCGGGATTATGAAGGCAGGGAAACATGTTGAACACAATGAGATGGTGTTAAGAGTTCAGATAACTACAAAGGAGGAAGATAAAATCATACATTTTGAAGCAAAAGTTCCAATTCCATGACAAAGAACACAAAACAGCAATGAAGTAAATGGGATTTCTGATATGGTAAATGAGGTATAACATATTCAGTCAATATGACTTGCAATTGGATGGGTTGAATGATGAAACAATGTATGGTCATGAAATATAAGCAGACCTTTTCAAGAAGACATGCTATCAGTGAATAACCATGTAATTTCTGCCTCCCGTGAATCAGAAAACTACAAAAAGTTTGTTTGGGATTATGAAGGCAAGGAAACATTTTGAAAATGGTAATAAAGTACAGAGCTCAAACAACCACAAAGGTCGAGGAAATAATGTATGTTGAAACCATAGTTAGCATTTAGAAGCAAAGACGTTCATCTTTCCTCAAAGAAGGCAATATGTTAACTCATTACTTGGGACAAAAAATATGAGACATGATGAATAAATATTCAGCAAGTATAATTTACAGTTGAAAAATAGTTTGAATGACAATTATGTACTCCAAGCAGAACATTTCAGGACGAAGATAAGCAATCGACAAGTAACTATAGAATTTCTGCTCCAATGAATCGGAAAAACACGAATAACTTTCTCAAGGATTACAAGGGCTTAGAAACATTCGAAACTGATGAGACTGATCAGTGCTCAAATAGATTTAACAGCCTCTCAAGTTAAAAATAACAGGAGTTCAAGAATTGCATTTATCAAGAAATTCAACCCCATATTTAGCAGAAAAAGACATTCGGTCAACTGAAACATTCAACTCATAGATAAAATACAACCACCATATGGTATCATTCGACCCATGTGGTTCTCTGTACAGGCGTAACACATCCAGAATTGGGAATATAAAGTAAAGGAGGTGAAAAAATATACACCTTAGCATAGTAATCTTTCCAAACTCGGCGAGCAATCTGATGTCCTCCTAGATCAAAGGCCTTGAACTTGATTTTACCAATACTCAATTCCTCCGAAGTTGGATGCTGGGTCGGCTGGTGTTGAACTAATCTCTGCAACATGACAAGTTAACGAAATGAACTCTTGAATTAGAGCTAACTAAAAGTCCAACATTCAGGCAAATCTAAGCAACAAATAAGATTTCAAAAACATCGAAAAATTATGGAAATGCAACCATTTTACGCTCTCTGAATTCTGAATCCAAGCATCTGTTTTCCTCGGGGATAATATTTTCATATACCACCTTATTTGGGAAATAATCTGGAACTAAAACATAATCTACAAACAACAATCGAGATTCAAGACTTGTGACATTGCAATCTCTCCATCGAAAGCATTTCATCAATTTTCAATAGTGTACAAATATTAACAAAATGAACAAAGACAATAAACTTAAGAATCATAAAGAAATATACCTCATCTTTCAACATATGAAGCAAGGTCGTTTTTCCAGCATTATCGAGCCCTAAGAAAAGGATCTTGGCCTCCTTTTGCCACAACCCAAGAGATGCAAGAACTCCATAGAACCAATCAACCAAAAACATCTTCTAATTTCCGGCAAAATGCAGGCCAAAAACGACCTCGAAAAGCTGCAAACTTGTACCGTAAACCCACGAGATCGAGCCCCTAAAATCCCCCAAAGCAAGAGCAAATGAGCACTTCTAGGGATTTAGGATCATACTAATAAAAAAAACGCATCTGGAAATCGTAGATATTAACATAATAAGTAGGAGAGGAGAGGGAGGTGAGAACTGTGGCCGCCATTTCTGTTTGAAGCTGAGGTAAATGAAGCCCTAAACAGGCCCACATGGATGTTTATTGGGCCTACCTCCATCCCCCAATTATGGAGTCCGGCCCAAAACTTAATTTAAAACCTTAAAAGAAACAAAAATTAATTTTTTTTTATTCCAAATTATTTCCACCGTAATTAAATTAAATATTAAATTGAACCCACTTTGATGTTTTCAGTATAAATTTAAATTTTTTTATAAAAATAAATTTCTATTATCCAACATCAACATATTATGAACTAATATTTATCAATAAATTTTAATATGTATTTTTTTAAAAATAAAAATTTAATTTTAAGATTTATTTGAAAATAAATAATTGTAAAATTATATAATTAACAAATCATTTTATATTTACATGTTTTTGCGAGATGGTAGTAGCCACGTGGCAAAAATAATTTAATTTAATTTAAATAAAGAAAAAAAAAAAGAAGATAAGTTTGAAAATTGAGTTTATCCAAAAGAATAAAAACAAGTGGGGCCCAGTTCTCATTTTTCGATAAATGTAAATAAATAAATAATTGGCCCACAGATTTATATAGAAGAATAAAACCGGAAGCCCAAACCCAATACCGCCAATGGTTTTCGTTTTTTTAATTTTCTAGATATATTTTTTTTAAATTAAAATGTTTTTTTTTCTCTCTCTCTATAAATATCGCCAGTGGCTCGGACTTCCCGGTCACCAAACTGTCTGCGACGCTTCCAGAACTGGGAATTTGCAACCGTTTTTTCGAGATTTGTTATCGGCCGTCGGATTATCATCGGATCTCAGATGGGTGACGTGTCAGAACGTGAGAGAAAGATCCTTGTGGCCGTCGACGAGGGCGAGGAGAGCTTGTACGCGCTCTCTTGGTGTTTGAGGAATGTAATTTCTCAAAATTCCAAAGATACCCTTATCCTCCTCTACGCTCGGCCACCCCGCCCGATTTACACCGCCATGGATGGCACTGGTAAGTAAATTCAAACTATCCAACGGTTATTTTGGTAATTTTGGAGTTTCTTATTTTTTTTTATTTTTTTTCTTTTGTAGGGTATTTGTTTTCAGCGGATATTATGGCCACGATGGAGAGGCATAGTCGTGACGTGGCGGCGGCCATTGTGGCGAAGGCCAAGAAGCTATGCAAGGATCTAAATAATGTGAGTTATTTGTTCTATATTAGGGCTATTTTTATTAATTAATTTCCACGTCATTATTTCTCTAAAATTACGTGGAATATAATCACATTAAGAAATTTAGTGTTAAAAGGAAACAAAAGTAAAAATGAAATAACCAAACAAAAGAGTTTAAATTAAAAATAAAATTTATAGTGGGAAGATATATTATAGGAGTGTTCTAGATATTGTGGTGTGAAATGTCTATTGTACCCTTGAGCATTCAGTTTAAAGATATTATTTATTTATTTTGAATTGATTAGAAAATGTGAAATGACGAAAATGGGGCTGTGGGAACAGGTGAAGGTGGAGACAAGAGTGGAAAGTGGAGATGCAAGGGACGTAATATGTGAGATGGTGGAGAAATTGGGTGCTGACGTGTTGGTCATGGGTTGCCATGGCTATGGTCCAATCAAAAGGTGACTATCTTGGTTCGGTTCGGTTCGGTTTGGTTCGATAAATATTTGATTTTTTAAAATTTTTTAAAATTTAAAAATGAAATTAGTATTATCAAATTTTGAGGATGAAGAATTTTTGGGTGATTTAAAAAATTAATTAAATTGCATCTATAGTTTTTCAATTTTTAAGTATTAGATATTTAATTTAAAAAAATGAGTGAATAAAGTAATTGATATTAATTAAAATTTAATGCAGGGCATTGATTGGTAGTGTGAGCAACCATTGTGCAAAGATTGTGAAGTGCCCCATTTTAATTGTAAAGAAGCCCAAAGACTCAGCTGCTCAGCTCAGTAAATAAAAATGTTTCCATTTTTTTTTACCATTGAAAAAAAAAACACACAATTATGTATGTGAATTTTGTGTTGTTATAACTGATTTAAGCAATCAAGTTTTGTTTTTTTTTTTTTTTTAAAGGAAATGAGTAGATAAATATGTTAGACGAACGACTCTCCACAATGGTATGATAGTGTATTCAAACCGATGTGAGACTTTCATCATCCAACACCTCTCCTCGAACAAAGTATGCCTCCCCTTAATCGAGGCTCGACTCCTTTGGAGTCTTAGTCATTTTTGACTGCCTTCGTACCTTCGAGGAGGCTTGACTCCTTTTGGAGTCCTTTGTTCGACATTTAAGGATTTGTCAATCTATTGACACGGCTAAGTTTAAGGTTTTGCTTTGGGCTTCCCAAAAGGCCTCATAACAATGGAGAGTGTATTTTTAGATTATAAACCCATGATCATTCCCTAAATTAACCGATGTGAGACTTTCATCATCCAACAAAATATGCCCGATATGAGGTCTCGATATAAATATATTTTTCACACTTTAAAAATAAAAAATTAATTAATATAGTCATATTAAACAAACAAATTATTTGAAAACCCGTATAATGACTTTGCTATAGAATTATTAAGAGAAAGATACGCTTCGCTCCTATTAATGTGCTTCGCCTGCCTGACTGGAGAGGGCGGGAGGTTTGAATGAGTGACTTCCCGTTTTTCAATCAGTAAAGTAGATTGGCAGAAAGAGGAGAGGTTTAAGCACTTTCGATTCGGTAAGTTTAAAAAGATAACTATCTTGGTTTCATATATAAATTGATATAGATGGAAAACAATAGTGCAATGGTATGTGCAAGTAGCTCTAGTAATTATAATGCATTGAAACTACCATTGACTTCCTTTGAAATGAGTTTTGAAGGACACTACCAGGCGGCACGGGTGTGCCGATATTGCGCCCTAGCCCGAGTGTTGGAGGTTGCTACAAACACCCACTATTAGAAACGGTATCCGTAAATAACTCGGCATGAGCACGGGAGGGCCTATGCCTCGATAGAACCTGGATGGATGGATGTTTGAGAAGTCCCGATGAGATGAACGACACGCGGGCCCATTCTCGATGGCATGACCGAATGAGTTATGATGGCCGACGACATCCCGAGACTCGAGATGGTGTCAAGATATATGGACCCTATCGATGGGGATCGAGATGGCAAGATGAAATGCGACGTTGTATTGAGAGACCTTGGCCCGAGTAGAGGCAAGGTCGAGACGAATAAGTTAACCTGGTCGGATGATATTTTTGATCTCAACTAACTCATCCTTTTAAACTTTTTCCTATTAATACAATCCAGACCACGTACACCCCTAGTTGTGATCCTAATATAAAGTTAAATATCAAAATTAGTTGCTATAGAGATAATTAAAATTAATATTATGAATATGCCTTAATTTTCAGATTTTGGTTGCACCGTTTTTTTTTTTTTTTTACAAATTTTATTTCATTCCACTTTATTTGGACCCTCCTTTGAAATTTCATCACGAGATAAGAATGGATATCTGCAACCATGGGTCCCCAACAAGTTCCTATAATAATTAGTATGGACCAATACATATATAAATGTACATAACAATGGTTTTTTTGTTTTCTTATTGCTGACGGATTTCTTACCTAAAAAAGAAAAATAGATGATTGAGGATTAATTGGACTATATAATATAAATCATTACCCATTACATAAAATTGATCAATCAACATATTTTGAGTCTAATATATCAGTATTCAATACTCATTAGATGGCCAAAAAGTGGGGGATGAAAGCAAAGAGAATTGCAAAAAAGAAGGAACCCATCCATTGAGATTTCATCAATCAAATTGTCCTATTCTTTCTTCTCTCTATCCCTAACGGCTCAAAACTCATACTGAAATTCAAGCAAATCAGTCATTCATGAAGAAGACTGTTTCTTTTCTACATCTACAAAACGAAGAAACAAAAAGCAAAGGTGGAACGCGAAAATTTCCTGCCAACCCAACTCTCTACCTCCTGTGGTCTCCCCTCCCTCCTTATAGTTCATCCTGCAAACGGTTTAATCATATGAAGGTCAGAAGGACATAAAATAGTACACAACTCAATTCCGGAACCAAAAGAAAAACCTACATGTTTATCGTCCTCCTTGTCCTCGGCTCCGTCATCCTTCTTGTCCAAGTCAGCATCCAAATCGGAGTCATCTGCCTCGTCTGATTTGTCTTCATCTTCGTCCTCAACCTAGTACAATGAAAGCAGACATCAAAATTATATATCATACAACAAATCATCTCAAAAGCTGTAGTTTTTCTCAATGATAATTACTTACATCTGATTCAACCGGATCACTCTTGGCTTCCTGGTGAAGGTGAAGGCACAAAATCAACACTTAAAATTGACATATTTCAGGTATTGGTTAATTAAACATTTAAAAAAATGCGACTTCGGGGCACAATGTTTACCTCCTCCTCCCTCTTCTTCTCTGCCTCCTCGAATGCAGCTTTCTCCACCTAAAAGAATTTATCAAACTCAAAATCAAAACCAATTCCATAAAGAAAATGACAACGATTAGAAGGTTTAAAAAATGTACCTCCTTGTGCTTGCCCCATGTTTCTTCGGCCACATTCTTTGCATATTCCGGATCGTCAGTAATCAAGACATTGTCAAACAGGGTGCCAGATTTCACCTGATATCCAATATATAAATTGGGTCATCAATGTATGAATTCATCATAGTGAGATATATTATAAGCAGAAATGGTTTGCAAAGGAATATAGAGGGAATTGTACCTGCCACAGCTCAATACCAACATATTTCAATTTGGGGTAAACATAGAGCTCGGGGTCATCCTTAAAGTCTGCAGCAAAGGGTTCAAGAGCTCAGCACCAAAGTTAGTAAACAGAAGTAATGATCGTTGAAACACAATTTCAGATATGATAACATCAATAGAAAACATCCAACCTGGGTTGTCAATCAATGGTGCCTTCCACTTGCCTTTGTAGTTAGGGTTCTTAATTTTCTGAAAAGACCAAAAGTAATATTTACGATTCGAAAATAGAAAGGAGATAATATTAATATCACAAGCGTCAAGCAAAAACAGCATAAACCTACCTTGGGCTCCCATGGGCCTTTGTAATCAGGATTGGGAATGGTTGGGGCCACCCATTCACCATCTTCCTCATCATCCCAGTCTTGGGGCTGAAACAAGTGGCTTTGCTTATTAATAACAGAGTTCCTTCTCAAAGAAGAGAAGACTAAAAGGGAAATTTTCAATAGCTACCTTAGAGGCATCAGGATCAGTTATCTCTTTAGCAATGTCATCATAGCCCTAATACACAAAACAAGTGAATTTAAGAATACATATACTCTAGATTGATGTTACAAAATACCAAGCAGGATCTAGATAACTAAGGCATCATTACCTCTGGCTTCTTATCTTCTGGATCAGGAATGTACTCTTTGTCATCCCAATCCTCTGGCTGTGAAGCATCAATAAGAATCGTAAAACACTCTAAAATGGCCTCATTAATGTGCTATAATAGAGTACTTACTTTCTTGGCTTCGGGATCCTTGATCTTCTTTGGAGGGAGGAGGCTCCAATCATTGTACAAACTACCTTTTTGCTTCTCAACATTATCGATAAGGATGCTGTAAGTTACATCAGGACGAATGATGAAGGTGTAAACATGAGTAAGTTGGTCAGTCTCACAGGGAACTTCCTTCTTGATCAAGTGATTAGTGTCATTATAGTTGAGAATAGCATGCACTTTCTTGGTGCTGTAGCCACAGATATCAGGGCCAAACATGATGCTGCAGGAAACAAGGAACACATAATTATAAATCAAGTCAATAAAATAATTATCGTAAACAATATAAAAAAAAAAAAATGAAAACCGGCACTTTCAGAGTTCACTATTAACCTGTAAGGTGTTTCACCACCGAATTTCTTCTGATCAACCTCACCACTCATTAACTTCATGTATCCACCACCACAATCAAGCTTCTGTTCGTGCTTAACGGAAAATTGGAAAACAAGAATGTTATCTTTGTTGTTGAATTCAGGAAACTCGGCTGAAATAGCGTAGAATCTGTAATCCTCACTAGTTTGGATACCTATGACATCCAAGGAATAGAATAAAAATTAAATACTTGAAACCATCACATAGGTATGCACCACCCGCCAGTACATACGGGAAGTGTCAATAGCCAGGTAAAATGTTATGCAATTGACTCAACAAGAGCTTCACCTTTGTCATTAGCATCTCCGTGCCATTTTCCAGAGGTGTAGTTCCATTCTCCCGCTAAACTTTCGTCTTTCTTCCAGTCGGATTTAACCCACCTATTCTCCCACCCGTCTTCAGTATTACCAACACAGTTAGAATTTGAAAAATAAAAAAATAAAATAGCAACAGGTGATAAAACGATAAGGATATAACGCAAGATACCATCGATGTATCAAGTTTTACACAAGATTCATATTCTAAAACCTTTGAAATCTATTAGAGAATGACGATCAAAACAATTTACATCGATTCTATACAAAAGGTTAGCGTCCAGTCGACCTAAGGAAATAACATTATCCTAACAACATCCAGCACCGAATTCTCGTTTAAGATCATTGCGCAAGGTAGTTCATCACAATGCAACACATTTCAATATATCAAAAGCCTTCGTGAAAGAGAACCAATAATTTCAACGTACATCAGAAGAAAAAAAAAACAATCAAAACATTTCATGATTCTAAAACGACGAAACACAAAAAACGAAACGGATCTACGCTAAACAGTCTACAATGTGGCCTGAACACCATATTTCACACACACATTTAGATCAGTAACGGATCGGACAAAACAACTGATCCACCACAATCAAACAAATTCAACTCGAACAATATAAACAAACGTTCTAAATTCATCAACATCTAAAAATGCACGTAAATTACAGAGCCAAAAACAACGGATCTGTAAATCATACAAAACAAAGCGGAGAAAGAGAACAACATCATACCATCAAAACGCTCCTCGAAAAACACCTTAGCCGAAACGATAGCAACGAGAGATAGAAGGATCAAGGAGACTAAATTAGGGTTACAAACCCTAAACGCCATGGCTTCAAGCTTACAAAGCTTAAGCTTCTCTGCGAGAGGGAGAGAGGCAAGGAGAAATGAAATTGCGAAGATGGGGAACGAAATGGAAACCACTGGGGACTATATAGTGAGTCGACGCCATAAATCTTAATGGATCGTGAAAATAAAATAAAACGAAAATATATTATGACGTGGAAATAATAGCCAATAAAAAGCTTCCAAATAGACGTATGTGATACGTGGCTTTTTCTGATTGGTAACTACACGAATTGTTGGGGTTTCTATTGCATGTCACACGTGTGTAGAGTTGAAATTGATTTCATTGGACTAACCAAAATGACCTGGTAAATAGTTACAGGAATGACACGTGGAGATATTTAATTGGGTATAGTAAAAGAAAGTGTGTAGTGCTGCTGTAGTGGATTCCTGCTCGAGATTTTTAGCATTTGAAATTTGTAGTTTTCTTAGGATGGAATCATCCAGATAACAAAATGAATTACCGTTTGAATAATTTATGGTATGAATTGGCTGTTTAATTAATTTTAAGAGAGGTTGTTTAGTTAAATATTATTAAATTTTCATATAAATAAATAATATTTTTGTTTAGAAAAATATATAATTTTTAGTCTCAAAAATTTTAAATTTTAATTTTTAGATTTAAAATTTATATTTTTACCAATAATTTTTTGGATTTAGTTTTTATTTGATTCATAAATTTCACACAATTACATTTTTACCCTTGAATTTTAAATTATTTTTGTTTGATTTCTAAATTTTACTAGAACTACTCATATGACTGGATAACTCGATCAAGTTGAGTTGGCTATATTTTTTTTCGGTTTGAATGATGTTTGAATTTTTTGGAAATCTAAAATTCAGTTTGGTTTGGGGGTTGACGTTTTTTTGCGGGTCAAACTAAACAACCCGAAAATAGGGTTACAACCCAATCGAACCCTATCATACTCTTAAAGAGATTAAATATTGAACGTTAGTAACCAATATCTATTTGGACTTTTTTAATTTGATCCTACTCATTGTTACTACAATCTAACATTGTTTTAAGTTTTTTTTTTTTTAATCCGACACTAACCGGTTCTTGAAAATACTTATATAGTAGGTTTGATTAACTCTTCAAGTGTTTATTTTATTTATTTGATCTTCAATTCTCTTGTGTGTTTGTTTCAATCGAAAATTTTGTTTTCGTGGGGAAAATTTTGTTTCTTCGAGGAAATTTTGAAGAGAAAGATTCATGAGCTCGTCTTCAGTTATAACTCTAGATGACATGTTGGAGTCCTGATGAATGATAGTACTATCGATTCTCTCAAGTTGAAGATCATTAACCAGCTCAAAGTCAATGTCAATGTCGCTCCCTCTCCACAATCCTATTGATTCAACTATGTAGTGCTAGTATAGAACTTATATAACATGTAGAACTATTTTTAAGCCATTGAAAAGTCATTCCAAACTACTCTAAAGGACAAGTAGCAGTAGTACAGTAGTACTAGGATGATGAGCTTAAGGATTAGGTGAAAGCTGCTCTCTCGAAAGTCCATTTCCCCACCATTGTAGTGAGTGACTTTTAAGTGTGTAGAGCTTACGTAACACATAAAACCATTTATTTAAGCCATTGAGAGAAGTCATTCCGAACATAGTCTAAACTGTAGCACTTGTTAGGTAGAAATTCAAACTTCTAATCAAATGAAATAATTTTTTATGAAGGATTGAACCGTTCGCTCGAGTTCATTGCTTGACTTGTGGTCTTCATATGCTAAGATTACAAAGTTAGGCCGAGAAAGTTATCGAAACTAATTGGTTAAGAACTTGAAGATGATTGTCAAGATGGAGCTGGAGAAAATCTAGATGTACCCGAAGAACATGGTAGGTCACCTTAGTTGAGTTTGAAGACATAACCATGCCCATAACGTGTTGTCCATGACCGCATGTCCGTTCTAGACACCTTTTACATGCTTTCAACTTAAACAAGTCTTTACTCTTTCATGTTGTCTCAATATGAGGGTGCATGACCGTTTACCAAAATCACATTTACACCCACTAAAGCTAAAATATCTCAAAATGTACTATAGGAGGTGTAGGTGTGACTAATTGTCAATTATTCCTACCCTAAGTTATATACTATTTAAGTCATGATGTTTTTATTTGCTTATAGCCATGTAACATTGTTTTCTTCCATTCTTTCAAATGGTTTTCAAATGTATTTCCTCACCCACGTTCTCTAAAACACGACCCGAAGCTCAAGCATACGCTGATGTTGTCTACAAAATCCAAAAATTTCTTACGACTAACTTGTTCGTTGGATTAAAACAAATCAAATGCCGCACAATTGTTGTCCGAACTACTAGAATTGGACACTTGAAAACTTTTCAAGAACAGAACAGCCTAGAAAACAGGTACGTATGGCATCCCTGTACTGTCTCTAACAGAGGAACCGTTTGGCAAGCTTCTTCAACAGGACGGTTCATCCATTTTTTCAATGTGCCTTCAGCAACAAGCGCAAGCTGATGCTGCAACACAGCTGCACCCAAGGGTCCTACTAAATTCAGTCTTGTTGCAGCAGAAATCACGTCTCTCAGGGTAATAAACAGATATGCCCTCTGCGACATTGTGCTATCCCATCCTAGTAGACCGCAGATTAGCCCGAATATGGGAGCGTGGTGGAAGGAAACAGCCCCGGTCCCTGTGGAGGTTTCTCTCATTGCTTTCAGAGACGAGATTTCAGAAAATACTATTGCTGCAACTCTCATGAGTGCCGATCCTTGCGTAATGGACGCCTTTCGACTAACTTCATTTGTCAAAATTGCATTCAAGAATCTGTCATTTTTCTCCCAAGTTTCTAAATCAGGTGATAGTGTGGTTGAATGCACAAAAGGAAGAAGCAAACTTCCAGTGTTGTCTAACAAATGGATCACAAACGTTTTGAGATCTTCTGGTTGTGAGACAATGCGAGCTTGAATTGCAGCCTCGAGACCGAACGAATGGGCGAAGCCACCAGTAGGAAGGATAGAATCGAGCAGTTGCCACTGGCTCCAGTGAAATTGTTTGTCATCCATGTCGAGTTTGGACTGTTGCATATATTCTGCAAAACATGAACATGAAAACATAACTCCATAAAAGATAACTATCCAGAAAATGGATAAAACAAGTTCTAGTTTCAAGCGACAAAAAATGTAACTGTCCAAGCTCACCGCCAGCAGATATTTTCCTTTTTAGGCTTTTCCTTTTGGACTTACCCTCAAGTTTTTTAGAACACATCTGCTAGAGAGAGGTTTCTACACTCTTATAAATAGGGCCCAGCGTGCTCGCTGGTACTCGTTCCCCTCCCCAATCGATGTACGATCTCACAACAAATAAACTTGTTTACACAGTTAGCTTGATTTTCATCAGGGAAGCCTAAGGGCAAGGCTCTAGATTAGGAAGCTCGTATTGCACTCTGGATGGCTCATGGAGAGCCATCAGCTTTTTCAAAGGAAAGCTATACATATCAAAGGGTTCACCAAGAAATGGGCATATCAATAAACTACACTATCTCTACTCGAGGCCACAGCAATAGAAACCAAGAATCTAACAAGGCCGGGATCTAGAAATGTTCAAGCACAAGGTCTGGAAACTGAAATCCAGGAGTAACCAAAACTAATCGAACCAACTGAAAACCAGATCAAATTCAAGAGTTCGAAACTCAAGAATCATTGAATTGTTCCTGAAATAAAGAGCAAGAAGATCAAAATTATAATGGAAACTACTAAAAACGTTCAACAATACTCGTGGTACATCGGGATAGATAGCATATTAGTGTGTGAGAATTGGATGTTGGACTATGAATGAATGATGATCCAGAATCGCCAAATATTCGCTCAAGAAACAAATGTTAATTTCTCAATCAAGCTTGTTAAAATCGAAATAAAACTCGATTGATGGTTGAGAAATCCGAATAATTTCAGCCAAGAACCAATATTAGGTTGAAGTAAATCGAAGTAAGAAAGAACCCTAGGAAAATTCAGATCCAACCAAACCACATCCTTCCACAAAAAAGAACAAACCGAACAGAAATGCGGAATTGGAACAGACTTCACTTTAATTTCCATGCATATTGAAATCCACCACTTCCAAGCGACCAAGCGATCAGGTTTCGAATGTAAAAAATAAGTCAACAGTCGAAAAGGAAGCTGCTGAACTCTGTACCTTTATTCTTTATACACCATATGGGGGTATTCGCCGTCGCTGAGGCGCGTGGAAACGTCAACACCGTGGCCGCCCTTCCTGCTGCGCTGGGTACTCGCCGTCGCCGTCGCCTGGTAGTCGGAGATTCGCGCTCTGAGTAGCCTGGATTCTGCGAGCGTACCACAATTAATTAATTATTATGACACGTTTATAAAAGATAAAAATAATATTTTAAAGATAAAACTAATAGTTTGACATTATTATTTATTTATTTTAAACAAATGGCGGGTATTCATAATTAAAACAAAAAACCTAACGGCAATAGGCAGCAAACCTCGCTTCATATTAGGGAGTCTTTCTTCCATTTCTTATTTCTCTTCAGCATATTTGGAATTCTCGTGTAAATTTCCCACCAAACTAGCATTTTCTTACCGAGGTTCGAACTGGAGAGAATTCTCGTAGTTCATGAGCTTCAAGAACTTCCATGGGTTTCGATTTCGATTTCGATTTCGCGAAGAAGTGCGTTCAATTTCTGGTATTTATAATCGGCGCCATCGCCCTCAGTTTCATAGGTACGTTTGATTTAGATCGAAACTCTGATGTAAATTTTTTTTAGAAAGTACTTGAATCAATAGTTATTGATCTTTTCCTTTTCTTTTCTGGATATTTGATTTTACTTGTTTCTCGAGAATGGTGAAGGAAGAAAGAAGTGGAAATCTGCGTATTTCTCTGTTAGGGTTTGTTGCAGGTGTCTTGAATTGGTGAAATACTAGTAGTAATCTTGTTTCATAGAATTAGAATTTGTGACTGTGAGATCCCAAGTCGGAGGGGAGAACGAAACACCATTTATAAGGGTGCAAAAACTTTTTTCTAGCAGACGCGTTTTATAAACCTTGAGGGAAAGCCCGAAAGGAAAAGCCCAAATAGGACAATATCTGCTAGCAGTGGGCTTGGGCCATTACAAATGGTATCAGAACCAAACATTGGGCGATGTGCTAGTGACGAGGTTGTTCCTTGAAGGGGGTAGACACGAGGCGGTGTGCCAATAAGGACACTGGGCCCCGAAGGGAGGTAGATTTGGTTAGGGGTCCCACATCGATTGGAGAAAAGAACGAGTGTCAGTGAAGACGTTGGGCCCTAAAGGGAGGTAGATTGCGAGATCCACATTGGTTGGGGAGGAGAACGAAACACCCTTTTATAAGGATGTAGAAACCTTTCCCTAGTAGACGCATTTTAAAAACCTTGAGGGGAGCTCGAAAGTGAAAGCCTAAAAAGGACAATATCGGCTAGCGGTGGGCTTAGACCGTTACGGTGAAACTATGTAGGGTTTGAAAAATCTTAATGGAACAGAACTGAACTGTTGTGCTGATTTCTCTTGATCTTGCTTGAGTTTCTCATATCTTTTGTTTCACATCTTAAAACCAGTTTATAGTCAATTCTGCTGTTTATTTGGTGAAATCTTACATCTAGAACTTGTTTCTCTGACTGTTTCTTTGTTTCTTCTGCACTAGAACCAATTAAAATGTTCCTAGGAAAAATTACCAGCTGTTAAAGTGCTTTATGAAAAAGCTCTTGTAGACTGTTCTTGACCTGAGTGATTGTTAAAAAAACACTTAAAAACACCTCTAAAAAGTGTAGAACTAAACATCAAAGCGATTTCATCAACCCCTTTGCCGAGTTTACAATGATTATTGAACTCCCCAAGTGTTAATGTATCGTATTATTGATCTTGAAGAGGAATTTTAATGGTGATAGGTGTTAGGAAGAACTTAAGTATCATGTTTAGAAACAAAAGTTATGTATCTTAAGGTTAGGAACCACGACTCTCCACAAGAGTATGATACTGTCCACTTTTAGCATAAGCTCTCATGGCTTTACTCTGGGCTTCTCCAAAAGGCCTCATACCAATGGAGATATGTTCCTTACTTATAAACCCATGATCATTTCTTAAATTAGCCAATGTCGGGCTCCCTCTCAACAATCCTCAACATCTAAATGATTCGAGTTGAGAATTGTCATAAAGATTTGGTTAAGGAATCTTTTAGATTCACGAATACTTGGATTGATAAATATCTTTTGGTACATTCCCTACTTTGGTTCATGAATCTATTGGACTCGATTCTTTTGCTTTTTGGATGGATCATAATGTAGTCACAAATAAAGGTTTGTCTTAGTGTCATTTTGTATTTACCTACCGGCAATTAAGAGAAACTTTGAAAGTGGGACTTTGTAGTGTGAGACTGTAAGAGACACTTGTAAACACTTTGATTATAGTGATTGGCTACCTCCTGTAAATATAGGGAGTCAGTTGGTTGCTTCTTGGCTACGCCCCCCGCAACTAGCTACGAAATACTTGATCTAAATTCTCAAATAGGAAATTGCATATCATTCGCCGATATACGTATAGGAACCTGGGTACATGATATAGAATGTCATCCAGGTCAAAGCGCAAAGCTGGCTCGAGAATTTCTTCTCTCCTTTGTTTCTTTCTGTTCGTGGGTGTGTGAGTGAGATCGATCTTGCTTCCGCTTCCTCTTTCGCTTCCCTTCCAACAGTTTTTATATCTCGGATGTGGGTTTTGTTTAGTAGACTGAATCATCGATGGTGTTTATATTCTTTTATGGATTTAATAAGTATTCGAACGTTTGTCATATTATATCATTAGATATATGTTTGTTCCACAGTTTTTCACATAGTTTGTAGTATTCACAGTTCTTTTTCATCTTTTCTAAAAAAAAATTTATAGTGGAGAAATGTCGACATGATCTGGTTAGGGAGGAAGCTTCATCCCAGAGTGGAAAGATCACAGTCTTGAATTGTTTCGACATGGGTTCTGGATTAGTTGCTTGTGGTGTGAAGGAGGGGGCAAAGCTCTACTTCTACAACATCCAAACCGCTCATGTCGAGAGAGTACAACGCAAAGCATTCGAGACCGCCCTGGCCGACGCAGTGACGGAGGGAATGTCTGTGAATGATGCAGCAAAACACGCATGGAAAGAGGGAGTTAAGGCAGCAGAGGTGACAAAGCAACAAGGGAAACGCATCATAGGGCTGATCATCTCTTCGGGATGGGACTTTTTTGAAGCTCTATACTATAGTGGTACTGTCACAGAAGAGTTCCTCAGGGGCTTGGGGACGCTCGTTGGCGCATACTCGGGAGGCTTCATCGGCGAGCAAGGGCTCGGGAGGCTCGGCTACCTTGTAGGAAGTCATTTAGGTAGTTGGTGGCATATGATGCTGTAGTGCATTTCTTACCCAATTTGACGATTGACAAAGTGGCGAGCACGCGCCATTACTCCAGCGCCAAGACGGAAACACGAAGCTGGCTTTACAAATTAGGGGCGCAGCAAGAACAAAAAAATGGCCAAATTCGCAGCCGAGCCAACTCCAATTCCAATTCCAATTCTAAATCCAAACCCTTCCTCTCTGCTCAAGCTCGCTCAGTCCCCACCCAGATCGCTAAGCGGCTCTGCTCAAAGCCCCCTTTTACTTTTCAACTCTCTTTCTCTCGGCTTTGATCCGGCTAGGATCCATCTTGTGCCGCTCCAACCTTCTCCTTTCTTCCCTCCATCGCTTCGTAAGTGTTTTATCAGACCCATTTTCCGGCTTCGTAAGTGTTCATGTTTCAGCTTTCAGTTCCATGTATGTCGGGGTAAGTCGTTTACTTCAGCTGCTGCTGCTGAAATCTTTTGTTTTAATGTTCTTAGTTTCTGCTCTTATTTGGAATGTAGCTTGAATGCTTGTTGATGGCGTTAGTATTATGAAGCTTTGTGATCAGTAAATGAGCTTGAAATCACCAACTAACCGACTGGGATTGTTTAACTTGATCATTTGTTTACTTTCTATTAGCTTTTCCCTATGGTTGGGAAAAAGAATCCCATAGTTTTGAGTGATCTTGACACAGTTCAGTTTGGTGTAGAACCTTTTAGTCTCTTGCCTGAATCCTTGACTCGACGCATGCCTTTGATGGAGGATTCAATGGAAGAACATGAGGGGTAGTTTGGAGCAGCTTAACAATCAACACTGCCATAGTCCATTGCTAGCGGATATTGTCTTTTTTGAGCTTTCTTTTTCAAGCTTTTCCTTAAAACGTGTCTGCTAGGGAGAGGTTTCCACACCCTTATGAAGAATGCTTCGTTCTCCTCCCCAACTGATGTGGGATCTCATAACCACCCTTTGAGGTCCAACATCCTTGTTGGCACTCGTTCCCTTCTCCAATCGATGTGGGACCCCCCAATCCACCTCTTTCGTTGCTGGCACATCGCCTCGTGTACACCCCCCTTCGAAGACAGCCTCCTCGCTGGAACATCGCTCGATGTCTGGCTCTGATGCCATTTATAACAGCCCAAGCCCACCGTGCTAGCAAATATTGTCCTCTTTGGGCTTTCTCGCTCAAAACGGAGCATCGATCCTCGATTTAAAGCCCGAGATTCCAAGAATTGGTTGGTTCAATCAAGGAAGAAGACTACCACTCCAACAGCCTGCTTTTAGCTTACAAGAACCTGAAAGGCTTGAAGGTTTGAACCTCAACCAGCCACAGAACGTGGAAGATCAAGAATTTTGAATGAAAATAGACCTTCCAATGTTCAATGGAAAAGATAAGCAGAAAACAAACAACTAGAAATACTATCAGAAAGTAAAATTTGAAAGTACTAAATGTTAAAGGCTTAAAATTCCCAGCTCAAGAACTTAAATGACCATTCGACGTCCAATCGACAGGATTGAAAATGGCCTCGATGTTCGATTCTTCTTTTCTATCCTTCCCATTTCTTATTTCATTTTTGCTGTTAGACAGGGACTGTTAGTGGGAAAGCAGGAAACCAAATGGACTGGAATGTGAATAATGCATTCAAAAAGGTATTTATATACTTATGAATGATGTAATTGGCCAATGGTCTTGTTTGTGTATTGCTTCGTTGAACGTTGGCTCTGTGCAAAGTTAAGATAGTTCATTTTAATGAATGTAGCCTTTCTTTGTGTTCCTGCTAGTAGATTAGGAACCCAAGTCCATGATGGATATGTCACTGATACCAAGCATTGACCCGATTGATATCGATTTGGGCTCGTCTAACAAGGGGAATCCAAATCCTTCAGCAATGCCAAGGAAAAAGACATTGACATCAGTTTATCTCAAATTTTTTGAGACTGCTGCTGATGGGAAAAGCAGAAGATGCAAGTTTTGTGGACAGAGCTACTGCATTGGAACGGCTACTGGTAATTGCAATACTATTTCTTGATTGATTATGAGTCAGAATGCTTGAAAAAACATTATAATTATTCTACGTGGAGCAATCGAGCTTCTTCCATTGGCGTTGTAAATTTTTACTACAAAACATGATGTCGAGGTTCGACTTAAAAGAGTTTTGTGTTCCAGAATTGGTTTTTGTAACGGCCTAAACCCGCCGCTAGCAAATATTGTCCTCTTTTGCTTTCCCTTTCGGTCTTCATCTCAAGGTTTTTAAAACGCGTCTATTAAGGAGATGTTTGCACACCCTTATAAAGGGTGTTTTGTTCTCTTCCCCAACCAATATGGGATCTCACAATCCAACTCCCCTCAGGGTCCAACGTTCTCGCTGGCACTCGTTTCCTCTCCAATCGATGTGGGACCCCACCAAATCCACCCCCTTCGAGGCCCAGTGTCCTTGTTGGCGCATCGCCTGGTGTCTAGTTTTGATACCATTTGTAACGACCCAAGCTCACCACTAATAGATATTGTCTTCTTTGGGTTTTCCCTTTCGAGCTTCCCCTCAAGGTTTTTAAAACGCGTCTGGTAGGGAGAGGTTTCACACTCTTATAAAGGGTGTTTCGTTCTCCTCCTTAAACCAACGGGGACTCACAGTTTTGCTCCATTACTTTAGCACCTAGCACCTGTTTGTCCTTTCATTTGTGATGATAAATCTTTTCATTGGAAGAGGCAATTTGAGACGACACCTAAGTAATCGACATCCAGGTTATGATAAGTCGGGTGATATTATCAGTAATCCAGCACCACAGCCTATCACCATAATCAAGAAATCTCAAACTCAGTGGAAACCACAACAGATCGATTATGTTCATCTAAATTGGTTGATAATTAAGTGGCTTATATTATCTTCTCTCCCTCCTTCAACCATGGAAGAAAAATTTGATCATAATCAATCTGTTGTGAGTGTTACATGTCAGTGGATTGATTAAACTCAGTCACTCTTGATTTCTGGAATTCCTATGATCAAATTTCTTTTATGAGTGTTACATGTCAGTGGATTGATGAAAGCTGGTCGTTCCAGAAGATGCTTCTCGATATCTCTCACGTACCGTATCCCCGAGGAGGTCTCGAGATCTTTCACTCTATTGTGAAAGTTCTTAAGACGTATAACATAGAAGGTAAATCCTTTCGTGTACTCATGACAACAGCCAAGATGCCATGCATGCTTGTCATGCTTTGGATGGTCAGAAAGTTGGGCGTTTCTGTTATATTCCTTGTGCTGCTCGTACTCTAAACTTGATCATAGATGATGGATTAAGGCCTACAAAAGAAATAATTCCAAAAGTTCGGGAGTTTGTACTGGAAATGAATGCCTGCTTGGATATCTCTGAGGATTTTGTTCAATTTTCTACGGTTTATCAAGAAGGTAACTGATTTCCACTTGATTCTTCTGTAAGATGGAGTGGAAGTTATCAGATGCTCGATATAGTACGCAAGGTAATTTCTCTTATCTAAAATTTTTCATCATGCTGAAATGATTTCCGTGATTTGTCTTTCGTACTCGTGAAATAATTTTTCACATTGGTTGGAGAGGGGAACGAAACATTCCTTATAAGGGTGTGGAAACCTCTCTCTAGTAGATGCCTTTTGAAAACCTTTGGGGGAAGCTTGAAAGGGAAAGTCCAAAGAGGACAATATATGCTAGCAGTGGGGTTGGACTGTTACAAATGGTATAAGAGCTCGACACTGGGTTGTGGCCAGCGAGGACACTAAGCCCCCAAGGGGGGTGGATTGTGATCTCACATCAGTTAGAGAGTGGATCTCACATCAGTTAGAGAGTGGAATGAAACATTTTTTATAAGAGTGAGGTTTAAATATTTTTTATAAGAGTGTGAAAACCTCTTACTAGCTGACACTTTTTAAAAACCTTGAGGGGAAACCGCAAGGGGAAAATCCAAAGAGGACAATATCTGCTAGTGGTGGGCTTGGATTGTTACTAATGGTATTAGAGCCAAACACTAGGCGGCGTGCTAGCGAGGACGTTAGGCCTCCAAGGGGATGAATTGTGAGATCCCACAATGGTTGGGAGAGGCTTGAAGTTTTCCTTATAAAGGTGTGAAAATCTCTTACTAGTAGATGCTTTTTAAAAACCTTGAGGGGAAGCCCGAAAGAGAAAGTCCAAAGAGGACAATATCGGCTAGTGGTGGGCTTGGACCGTTACAAATGGTATCAGAGCTAGACACTGGGCGGCGTGCCAGTGAGGACGTTGGGCTCACAAAGGGGGATGGATTGTGAGATCCCACATTGGTTGGGAGGAGAAAGAAGCATTTCTTATAAAGGCGTGGAAACCTCTCCCTAACAGACATGTTTTAAAAACATTGAAGGGAAGCCCGAAAGGAAAAGCCCAAAGAGGACAATATCTTCTAGCGGAGGGCTTGGGCTATTACAAATGGTACCAGACACTGAGCAGTATGCCAACGAAGATGCTGGCCCCAATGGAGGTGGATTGTAAGATCTCACATCGGTTGGAGAGGGGAATGAAGCATTTTTTATAAGAGTGTGGAAACCTCTCCCTAGCAAACACGTTTTAAAAACCTTGAGTGGAAGCTCGAAAGGGAAAGTTCAAAGAGGACAATATTCACTAGTGGTGAACTTGGACTGTTACAATATCTAAGACGGATACGTTGTAATCACGAACTGATATGAACTAAGTTTATGTGAAGTTCTAATTCATATGTAGGCAGGGAAATCCATGGAAGCTGTTATTAGGAAGTACGAGGAAACACTTGGCAGTAAAATGCTTTAAACTCTGCCGAGAAGAACATAGTTAATATTGTGCATCAATATTTAGAACCCTTCTACAAAACCACGAACAACATATGCACAAATAAGGTCCCAAACTGTTGGGTTAGTTCTGTTCTTCATGGATCATATTTCCGAGACTATCACCGCCTGTCGAGATTCTCGACACAACCCGGATTGGCTAAAGACTGCTGCCAAAGACATGGCCAAGAAAGCCAAGAATTATAGCCATCAAGTTTGCAACAATTCCACATACATGACCGCAATTC